CCTATGATTAATAATCATCTTAATACTGGATTCTTCATTTCCCCGCTCCTCACTCTAAACAAACTCGGTGCCACCCTCGACATGCGTTGATTAATGAATCCGCACAACCGCCCGAGGTGGTAGGTACTGTCAATATCTCCATTTAGTCAAAAAGGAAGCTGAGACACAGAGAACTCACGGCCCGGGCCCAGGGCCACCCAGCTGGTGAGCAGTGAGGCAGTCTGTCCGGCCGCAGCGGCTGTACCCTTGCCCTTGACCAGGACAGGAGACCACAGCTATAAGACAGCAGGACATCGTCATCACACATTTCCCAGATGTGCCCACGGCTTCTGCTCCTTCCTGCTGGCCTCAGCTTGAACCTGGCTCAGTCCCTGACCTTCCCCAACCGGTCTAGCAATGGGCAGTGTGCCCACAACATCTCCCTACTGATCCTGAGGGCTGCTCAGGCCCTACCCAGTCTAGTGCCTGGGCCAGCGCTTTTGGAAACCTCCCTGGAGGACCAAGGTCAGAAGAGCTGGTCTCCTGAGGTCCCTTCCAGCTCAGAGTCTGTTCCCCCTCACTGGCTCTCCCACTCAGTGCTGGGCATCACCCCAGGAGCTTGCACCTGTGCTTGCTAAGCCTCCCAGTGGTCCTAGGAGGCTGGTAATACGACGCCCCGTTCTGCAGATGAGGGAAGAACAGCGCAGAGAGGTTAAGGGACTTTGTGAGTCACACAGCTGGGGGAGCTCAGAGCTGCCTGCTGCCATGACAGCTCAGGGACCCTTTGTCTCTCTCCTAGGGTCCGAGGACACACCTCTCAGGCCACATTCATACAACTGCTCACCGGGCCCACTGCACAGCCATCCGTGATTTACCAGCTTTTCTAATTACGTAATATTTAAAATATTTATCCCGATTCTCATCCTAAGTCGACATTATTTTCATATAAAGAAATCACACCTTACTCCAATTTCATGCCACCCTGGCCACTGCTGGGCAATGGGCTTAAGCTCGTGTGTGGGTTCAGGGTCTTCACTGTGTGAGGCACTGGTGGGCCGGGAGTTTTAGAGTGGTCCCCTCGTGGGCAGAAGCTGAACTCGAACTGTTTCAGGCATGAATCCTGCCTCTTTTCTTCAGGACTTATTTTGGGGGGACAGTTTCATGACCAGTGTCATAGGAGTGGTCACGGGAGCAGAGGGGCCACCTTCTCGGATGCTGGCACGATGGGCCGCTCCTCTGGCCCCGGCCACACGGGGCCCCCACTCCGCACTGCGGCCTCATCAAACCCTCTCCAAGTCGGCGGTAAGGGCGGGGCTTTATCAGTTTCTCTCCACGTGGGGCGCACTCCAGCAGTTCAGAGTGGACTCCAGAGCCACACTGCCCAGGGTCAAATCCGGAACCCCTCACTTTCTAGCTGTGTGACTTTGGGCAGGTTACTTCCCTCTCTGTGCTGTATTTTCCTCTTTTGTAAAACGGGGACAGTAATAGCATCTACCTCCCAGGGTTGCTGAGGGTTTAGAAGAATGACTATAAAGCGCTGAGCTCTGGGCCTGGACACAGCAGGCATTCAGTGGGCACCAGCTCTGGCTAAAACTACTGCCACGGCCCAGCACAGGGCAGAGGGTGCTCAGTTCTTACGTGCTGAATGGGTGAACCAGCCAGTTTTTATACTGATAACAAGCTGTATGAATCTCTAGGATCTGATGGCAAAGCCAGCAACCAGGTGACAATGTTTGCATTTCACCACGACCAAAGACCAGCCTCTCAGACCCTTCTGATTCGTCAGGGAGGCAGGGTTTGCGAGCCAGTAAAAAGACCACGTGAGAAAGCAGAAGATTGCTACGTTCCGTGCTCCTCTGCAGGTCCCACGGCCGCGAGATGCTATCTTTGGCTTCAGAGTACAGAGGGCAAAAAACCGTAATTCAGTTCAAGTTTCCCAGGCACCGACGCGGAGTTCACAAGGAGACACGCTTTGCTTTCAATGGAGTCTTGAAACCTTGAAATGTAGTCCCGGGCTACTCACTTAACCTGCTGAACCTAATTTCCTCCTCCTGCTGGTGGAGATATGGCACCTACCTTAGCAGATGCTCTGGGGCTTATTCAATTTTTTTTTTTTTATCCTCACACAAGGACATTTTTCCATTTTTGTTCAGATAGAGTGGGAGAAAGAGAGAGGAAGTGAGAGAGAATGAGAAACATTGATGTGAAAGGGACACATCGAGTGGCTGCCTCCCGCACAACCCCTAGCAGGGCCGGGGACAAACTGCAACCGAGGTACGTGCCCTTAGTGGGAACCGAACCCAAGTCTCTCTGGACCAAGGCTGACGTTCTGACCACTGAGCCAAACCGGCCAGGGCTCTGGGGCTTATTCTAAGCGACACTTTACAAGCAATGTGCGGACCTAGGAGAGCAACTAGAATAACTTGCAAAGATGACCAACTACAAATCAACCAGTCCCATCCGAGATGGCCAAATTTGAGGTCCTAGAGTAGTGGTTCCCAACCAGGGCTGTTTTTGCCCCCCAGGGGACATCTGACCATGTTTGGAGACATTTGTGGTTGTCACATCTCGGGAACTACTCTGGCACCTGGTGACTAGAGGCCAGGGCTGCAGCTGAATATCCTACAATGCACAGACGGCCCCACAACAGAGAAGGATCCAGCCCCAAACGTCAACAGTGCCAAGGTCGCAAAGCCCGGTTTCGAGTTAGCTCAGATTCAGGTTAACCTTCAACACATAAAAGACGTATTGTTTCCGTTGCGTGGGCCAACAGCTTGGTGGGCTGTTACAGGAGAAGAGAATGATGAACATGCACAGAACATTCCAACCAGCTGCCAAAACAGCATTGTTTTATGACTAAGATCCCAATGCTGTTGGTAAAGGTCAACCTTCCAGGAAGTTCTGAGAATTACAACTTTTCATGCTGATTTTGTGACTAATCAGCTCACCTCATGCTCAAGAGACATGGAGCCGCACAGACAGCCTCTGCCTCTGCTGAGGGCCCCTCCCTCATCAATCTCTGTAGAAGATAGTTAACCCTCAAGTTCAGACAAAACACCCTGCTAGTACCTAAATGCGTCTTCTAAGGAAAGGCCGTTTTCCATCCATCCACCCATCCACCCACCCACCCATCCATCCACCCATCCATCCATCCACCCACCCACCCACCCATCCATCCACCCACCCATCCATCCACCCACCCACCCACCCACCCATCCACCCACCCACCCATCCACCCACCCATCCACCCACCCATCCATCCATCCACCCACCCATCCAATACTAAATTCCCACCAAGGGCCCATCAGTGTTGTAGATGCTGAGATAGGATGACATACAATTCAGACAGGGCCCAGCCCTCATGGAGCTTGTGGGGAAGGACTTGAACGAATGGCCCTACAATGACACTGACCTCTGCATTGTTCCCAGACCCCCAGTGGATGCATCAAACTGTGGATAGTATTAAACTCTATATATGCCATGTTTTTCCCTTTACATACAGACTTATGACGAAGCTTAATTCACAAGTTAAGCACAGTAAGAGATTAACAATCACGAGTAAAATAGAACAATTACAACAATATACTGTAATAAAAGTTGTGTGAGCGTGGCCTCTCTCTCCCTCTCTCTCTCCCTCTCTCTCTCCCTCTCCATCTCTCCCTCCCCCCGCTGATAAATGATGTGATAACTGAGAATGGCTATTACTGGCTAATGGGAGGGTGGGTATATAGAGCACAGACAGGCCGGACAAAGGGATGATTCATATCTCAGGCCAGACAGAGCAGGACGTCAAGATTTCATCATGCTACTCAGAACGGCGTGCGATTTAAAATTTATGAATTGTTTATTTCCAGAACTGTCCACTTAATGTTTTTGAACTGTGACGGACCCCTGGTAACTGAAACCATGGACATGAACCGCAGATAAGGGCAGGGGGAAATACTACAATTCAGTTAAAGATCTCAAGGTGAGGTCACCTGGTGCAATGTCCTTACGAGAGACATGCAGGGGTGGGGGAGGAGGAAGCTCTGGAAGACACAGGCAGAGGCTGGAGGGTGCAGCCCCAGGCCAAGGAGCGCCGGAGCCCTCAGCAGCTAACGGCGTGAAAGAGTCTGGCCTTCCGCCTTCAGAGGGAGCGAGACCTGCTGACCCCTTGCTTTCAGCATCCAGAACTGAGAGAGAATACATTGTTGTTGCTTTAAGCCACCCACCTCTGGTCATTTGTTACGAAGCCCACGGAAACGAATGTACTGAAATCCTGTGCCGCCACTGGCTGAGCCACTGTGGGCAAACTGCTTAACCTCTCTGAGCCCACTTCCTCACCCATACATGGACACTGCGATCCGGCTCGTCCATTCATTCAGCAGGTGCTTGCTGAGCGTTAGACCGGGGCTTTCCCTGGGAAGTGCTGCCTGAGTGAGGAACGAGAGGCAGAGGGTACCTGGGCGGGAGGGGCAGGGTGGTCTGCAGCCAGGGGAGGGGCAGGTGCAGAGACTCACGGAGCCAGAAGGCCAGCGTGGGGAGGGGCGGGGTGGGAGGGGAGAGATGCGGTGGGGGAGGGGCAGCCCAGGAGGGCAGCAGGCACGGGTGGGGCTGGCGCCAGCAGGCGGCACTGTCAGATGTGCGGAGAGATCAGTCAAGCTGCCCCATGGAGGGCGAACTGCTGGCCAGAGTGGTGGCAGGGACACCCGTGAGGAGTCCCCTGCTGTCATCCAGGACGGGCAGATGGTGGCTCAGACCAGGGTGGTGGGTGGGGACGGGGAAGAGGCCCGATTGCAGAGCTACTTGGAAGGTAAAACCACAGAACACTGTGAGGAATAAATGAGAAAACCGAGAGAGGCGCCCCCCACACAGTGCTTGGCGCGAACGAGGTGCCCCAGCTCCTCCACTGCATGGGGCTCCCTTTCTTCCTTCCCAAAGACACGGGAACCAGACTCCGGTGGCAACACCTGTCACTGCCGTTGCTGGCTTAGGGTGAAGATGAGCGCCCACAATTTACAGAACTTAGAAAACCAACTCACCATCCTTGAGTGAGAAGCTCAGCAGGTCCTGGGGGGAGAGGAACAGGAATTGCCGATAAGTTGATGGTCATCAGCCTGCTCCTTTGACAAATATTTATTGACTCTCACTAAGAGGGAGAACAAGTCAGACAATATCCCGCCTTGTACTCCAGTGGTGAGCCAGACAAACAAGTAAATAAATAAATGCGTGAGAATTTCGGGGAGTGGAATGAAGGCGAGGAAGGGCTGTTTTATACCCGCTCAGCTGACCCAACAGCCCGTGTCACCAGCTGCCTGTTTTAACTGCACACAGAGCCGGTGGGTGACATGCCCAAGGGCACACAGCAAAGCAGCTGCTTCTGGAAAAAGACACCGCAGCTTGGCCCTCGGGAGCAGGGGCTCTGGAGTCAGGGTGCCAAGGTTCAAATCCGGGATCAGCTACTTGTCGGCAGCATGACCTTGAACAACACGTCACTTAACCTCCCTGTGCCTCAGCTTTCTCCTCTACAAAATGGGAATGCTCACACTCCCAACCTCATAAAGTTGCTTTGAGAATTAAATGAGTTAATACTTGTAAAGGTATGAGCACATACTAAGCCCTGTTTAAGTAATAATTTAAATCAATAGTAAATATTCAGCAATGATAATTTAACATTAGCTACGATGATGATGATGACATGATATCCTGATGAAGTATTTTATCTTTCAACTACCCCATCCGTCCAGAAGCTCAGACTGACTGAGGAAATCATTTGTCCTGGCTTCCCCGCAGCCGCCACCCGGGGGGTGGGTGTACCTGAATGATCACCAGCGGGTCGTCCTTCAAGATGGGGTCCTTCATCAACATCTGAGCAAACATGTCAGCTCCGTCCCCTCCCAGGCCGCTGGCAAAAGCAGTCATGGTTGGCAAGACGGCTTCGGACAACTCCAGCCATGTCACCAGGCCCGTCACGAACTCTGTGCAGAAGGAGCTGAAAGACACGCGACTCAGATCCCAAACCTTCCAGACCGTGCACCTCCCAGGCCGTCGGGAAGTTGAGATCAGACCTGTTCACGCATGTCAACAGCCAACACATAAAACACAAAACCATGGTGACCGCAGACCATGGAACACAGAGGAACTAATTTCAAGTGGTGGGGATCTGAGCTTCTTCCCCCACCAAATGTTTGACCAGAGGCTGCTAAACCACAGGGACGAGGTCAACGAGCAGTTCCTGACCACGTGCCTGGGCCCTGCTGAGCCCGGGCTGTGCTGGGCTGAGGGATCAGAGATGAGCGAGATTCGGCCTCTGATGAGAAGCTCGCAGTGTGAGGACACAGGGACATCATGACTGGTCCTGTGGGACATGGGGACAGAGGCAGGAATAGAGCCCTGATGAGTGCAGAGAAGAGGCCCCCAGACAGGCCTTTGGAGGTGAGGTGCGGGGACTAGAAAAACCTTCCCACACAAGGGGACTTGCTGCTGTTGGAAATCACGGAGGACATGCTTTCTCGGGAAACATGAGCCGCTTAGAAGCAGACAACGTGCAGGGGATGAGTCCGTCCTCCACAGCGGGCATTTGGGTTGAGTCTCAGAGGAGTCCCTGGGTGTCTGGAAGGCTCTCGGGGAGAAGGAGCCCCAGAAGCTGAGACACAGCGGCAGGAAGCTCAGGGCATTTTGGGGCAGTGGCAGGATCTGCTTGCGGCTGTGAGAGTGGTAAGCGGTGGTGGTGGGCTGGGGGTGCGCAGCAGGGGAGTCGGTCAGAAGAAAAGGCTGAGACCTAGAGGTCAGGTCCACCTCCAAACCCAGCTGCCCGGCCTGCCTCCACCGCACTGCCCTGGAGTTCCCTGTACTGGATTCTGCACCCCTAGTTCTGGCCAGGTCGGAGTGGAATCAGGCTTCCCAGAAACGAGCAGAGTTCCTGGTGGAGACGGCAATGTCAGAGGTCTCCTGCGTGCACCACCAGCTCCCAGCCCCACAGATCCTGGGCAGCCCGTCCGTCCCAGTCCTTAGAGCTGGGGCGGCGAAGCCCAAGTGGGGAGATCTCTGCAGGCCAGGCCCCGGCCAGGAGCCGTGAAAAGCTCAGATTTAAATCCTGCTCCACCACCGTTAGGTCCCAGTCCCCAGGGGGCAGCTCTGAAATGATTAGTAGGATCCTCTTGGGATCGGCGCCGGTGGGAGGTCAGGGAGGGTGCAGGTCGGGGCAGCGGGGGTGCCGTGCGGTCTCTACAGAAGCCTCAGGCAACCCTGCAGGGAGTTCTGAGGACGGGGTGACCTTCAGAGCTGCCCTTGTGGGGCGAGAGGGCCAGCCTTGAACCGCCACATCAGCCAGTCATCGGATAAAGGCTGCCCCGGGAAGGGGAGAGAACCTGGGCAAGGTGTCTCTCCGGCTGTGACAGGCCCGGCTGTGCTGGCAGCCCTTCCCGCAGCTGGAGGGCAGTCTTCATCCTTAAAGGGACATCTCGACTTCTCTGTGCCTCTGTTTCCAAATGGGTTTAAGAGATCAACTTCATAAGACTGAGGTTAAATGAGATGATACATACGAAGCACCCAGAGCAGGGCTCGGCATGTGGCAGCTGTTCAACTGATGTTACCTGGCGTCATTATTTCTTATTTTTTTTTAATCCTCACCTGAGGACATGTTTCTATTTATCTTTAGATAGAGTGGGCGGGAGCGAGAGAGAAAGAAACATTGACTTGAGAGGGACACGTTGACTGGTTGCCTCCTACACAACGTGACCAGGGCTAGGGACGAACCACAACCGAGGTGCATGCCCTTGACTGGAATCGAACCCGTGACTCTTTGGTCTGTAGGCTGGCTCTAACCACTGAGCAACACCGGCCGGGCGGGTGTCATTATTTTTATTCATAAGATGGCCAAGGGAAGCAGTGGAGAATAGGGTTCAGAGTCAGGTTCTAAAGTCCTTGGGGGAGTTCCCTTCGTGCCTTTTCTTCATCTCTCTCAGCTTCACTTTTCTCTGCTGGAAAATGCAGATGAACACAGGACCTGCCTCGTAGGTTGGCTGGAAAGATTCGATGACGTAACAACAGCGCCTGGCACCTGATAACCCTCAATAAATGTTAGCTACTGCTATTACAGTGATTGTAAGTGGCCTCGTTGCGATGACTGGGGTTGCCTGGGAAGGTATGTGGGTGTGCACGGGGCCAGGGGATGACTAAGTGAACCGAACAGTACTCGGGGGTAAACTCATCTGCAGAATGGGCACAGGGCTGAGGGCAGCAGCCTGGCCCCGCCCCGTGTCCACAAAGTCTTAGATGCAGAGCAGCATCTCCTAACGAGAGTGGAGGTAAGTTAAGAGCATGGGATCTGGTTCACATCCCAGCTCTGACACTAGCTGTGTGATCCTGGACTAGTTACCTAACCTCTCTGTGCCTCAGTTTCTTTACCTGTAAGACAGAGGTGATAATGATGAAACCTACTTCACAGAGTTGTTGAAAGGAGTAATACCTGGCTCATATAAGGCACTCTACATGTTTCTTTAAACAAACAACTGAATTAATAAATATATATGTAAAGTGGTAGTACAGTAATCTATCAAATAGCAGACAGTATTTTACTTTATTTAAAAAAATTTTTTTTTGTTAATCCTCACCTGAGGATATTCTTTCCACTGATATTTAGAGACAGTGGAAGGGGGAGGGGAGAGCAAAACATCGAGGTGAGAGAGACACATCGACTGGTTGCCTCCTGCATACACTCCAACTGGGGCTGGGGATCGAACCTGCAACTCAGGTACATGCCCTTGACTGGGAATCAAACCTGCAAGCTTCTTGTGCAAAAGGCTGATGCTCTAACCACTGAGCTTGCTGGCCAGGGCCAGGCAGCATTTTAGACCGTCAGGTCCTTGGTAACTGCTTCTAAAGTGGTCGGTGGTCTAGTCGATATATATGAAAATCAACAGAGATGATGAGAATCACAGCACAACTATCCCTCAGTCCCAGGGCTAAGTGCTTTACACACACTGCCTGCTCTCTCCCATCACATCCCCATGAGGGAGGGAGGTACTATTCTTACCCCCATTCTAGATCTAAGGACACCCAGGCATGGAGGGGTTATGTGACAGCTCCAGGGTTCAAGGCCATAACTGTCCAGAGGCCATGCTCACCCACTGCAGAGACTGCCCCTCTCCAGGGATTACATTCCTGGGCACTCACCATGTGCCAGGTGCTGGCTAAGCAGGTGCATCAAACATTCCCTTTCATCCTCACCGAACCTTGCAGGTGGAGCCCCTGGCCGCACAGGTTAAGAGCCTTCTCAGGGTCCCACTGATGGGAAGGGCAGCGCTTCACCTGGAGTCCAGGGAGCTGAGTCCAGAGCTCCTCCTACTCACCAGGGGCCCGCAAACCTCCCAGGTGGCCACATCTGGCCTGCAGCCTGTTCTCGCAGATTAAGTTTTATTGAAACACAGTTACACCTGTTCCTTTCCAACGGTCTTTTATGCCCCATGTGGACCGAAACGGCCACAGAGTGGTTTCTCCAGGTAATTGAAACCAACAGCTTCTCGGGGCTGTGAAGAGATCGAGGCTGTCTTTAACACGTGTGCTGCGCCCAGGGAAACCGCGATCAACCACGTGGAAAGAGCTGGCGTACCGAGCCAGAAACTTTCAGGAAGGAATGCCCCAAGGCAGATGCTTCCAGATCTGTGTGCTTAGGACACACGGGGCGGGGGCACGAGACAGTAACGCACTTCCCTATGTGCCCTCCTAGGTGGTACCCAGCACAGGCCTGGCACATTGTCCAGGTTCCTAAATATTTGTGTGAACTAAGTCTCACAGCTCTTCCCTGCCTATGCATCAGCTTATCAGGTCAAGGGAAGCTTCCAGAAAGATGGAGGCTTCCAAGATCCAGCACAGGTCAGAGCAGAGAGAGAGTCGGACCCTTGAAGGGATAGGACCTCGGCATGCTTGGGAGCAGAATATCCCATGAGATGTATTCTAAGCTGCAGATAGAGTGTGTGATTTCATTATTAACAATGAGAATACCCAATAATTTGTTTGGCAGGCTCTGCAGGGGCCATCAACACATTTCCTCCTCATGACCACCCTCTCTGAAGGATGATGTTTCTCTGCAGCAGTAATTTCCCAGCCCCTTCTTCTTGGACAACAGAACACACCTCATATGATGGAAGTTAAAAATGGCACATGCCTTGATTTTTTTCCCCAGTCTCCCTTGCAGGTGAGGCTTGGGCAAGTGACTGGATCTAGCCAAAAGGGGAAGCCTTCTTGGCATGTTCTGGGAAAGAGTTCCTCCCTGATGAGAGAGACTTGAGAGGAATCCCTGCTCTCCTCCTTTGTGTTGTGGGCCTTTTCTGGTGAGGATGTGATGTGTGGAGCTGCAGCAGCCATTTTGTGATCAGCAGGGGAGGGCCAAGAGGAGAACTGAAGAAAAGCCAACCCAAAGGTTTTCTGAGGCACTGAATCAAGCCTGGAACTCTCTACCTTTTTTGTTTCCTGTTAAGTGAGAAAAAAAAAAATCTATTCTTTTCATCTCTTTTATTTTTAAAAGTTCTTTGGTTTTTTGTTGTTGTTGTTAATCCTCACCAGAGGATATTTTCCCATTAATTTTTAGAGAGAGTGGAAGGAAGAGAGGGAGAGAGACAGAGAGACGGAGAAGCATCAATGTGAGAGAGACACATCAATTGACTGTCTCCTGCATGACCCCAACCAGGGCTCGAATCCGCAACCCAGGTACATGGCCTTGACGGGGAATCAAACCCGAGACCCTTTAGTCAATGGGCTAATACTCTAACCACTGAGAAAACTGGCCAGGGCTTTAAATCTTTTTTAGTACAGTCCTGTTACCTGCAGCTCCAAATACCCAGACTGGTAGGAGTAAATTCAGTATTGTCTCCATTTTATAGATGAGGAAACAGGCAAATAAAATAAGTCACTGAGTTAGCAAGTAACCAGTACCATTTATTGAGCTCCTACTATGTGCCTGGCACTGTGCTATGGGCTTTACCTACATTATCTCATTTAATTCCCCCCATTTTATTGATCTCTCACTCTTTATAGATATAGATATAGATATGGATATGGATATAGATATATATCAATCACTGTGTAAGTTTGAGGTGTAGAGTCTAATAGTTTAAGTACATATATTGTGAAATGATTACCACAGTAAGTTTAGTTAGCATCCAGCATGTCATATCTATGCAATAAAAAGAGAAAGAAAAGAAAAGAAAACAACTATTTTCCTTGTGATGAGGACTCTTAAGATGGACTCTTTTAACAACTTTCATGTATATCACACAGCAGTGTTAACACAGTCGTGCTGTGCATTACTTATCTTGTACGAAAGCTTGTACCTTTTGACCACCTTTCTCCAGTCATTTAATTCTTGAGATCACCCTGTAAGGGTGTGTATTATTAGCCCATTCTACAGATGGAGAGACTGATGCTCAGGGAAATCAAATAACCTGCCCAGGGTCACATGTGACTGGGAAGTGGTAGGGGATTTGAACTCAGATCTGAGTCCAAAACCCAGAGGATGTCTCCTCTTCTAATAAAGCCAGCATTTATCTACTCTTCTTTTCATGAAACTGTCCCCAGTGTCTTTGCTACATCAAGCTGCGTGTAAGGCTCTAGGGACTCAGGATGAATGAGGCGACTCCTGCTCTCTAGGAGCTCTCTTGGAGGGGTGGTGGGGTGGGAAGAGTTACAGTGCGACCTGAGGTCATGGTGATGTGTCACAGGGCGCCCAGGTGGAGAAACACCCTGGTCTGCGGCTGGGGAAGGTCAGGGAAGACTTCCTGGAGGTGACCCCCAAGGAGATGAATATGCTCAAGTGTTCAGTCCAGTGGAAGAGACAAAGATAAAAAACAAAAATAATACAAACAGAAACACCCAGCTAAGACCCAAGGCATGGGGGGGAGCTTTAGGGGGCGAAGTCTTGAAAACACTGCAGAAACACTGTTGCTCCCCGATTCAGTAACGGTATCTCTCTCCTCCTAGGTGCCCTCCCTGCCTGGACCTTTGGGGATAGTTAGTCCCTCCATCTGCTCCTACCACAACGTCCAGCCTATCCCCAAGCCTGCTCCATTCTCTCTGAGAAAAGTCTGTCTCACCTATGCCCTCCCTCCGCCTCCTGGTCACTGCCCTGGTCTCCCCAGTGACCCCATCAGCCTCTCCTGCCTCTCCTGCCTCTAAACTCTTCCCCATAGAATCCCTGAAGCCCTTCAAGACCAAAGCTAGAGCTCTTAACAACTTTGCTGTTAGAACTTTATACATTTAAATGCACCTGTTAGATATTGACAACAGCAGAAATTAACACTTTAATTCAATCTGTTATTCTTTTGCTCCCATGACACCCCACCTGTCTGCTGTTACCATCAGTCATTTGGGCACCCCCTTTCATTGTAAGCACCAGGATGGCAGGAGCCAGCCTTGCTCTGTTTTATCTGCAGGGTCTTGCAATACACCCAACACACAGTAGGAGTTCAATAAATGCATGTCACATGAATGAGTAAATATCATATCCCCCTATTAGACTGTATCCTACCTGAGGGCATGATACTGTCTGCCCTGTTCATCTTATTCATGTACACCTTCCATGTACTTCCGATGGTGCTTGGCACACAGTAGGTGCTCAGAAAATGCTTGGTGAAGGGGTGAGTGAGCGAGTGCTGAATGAGATGTCATATTCCCCTATCTGGCCATGAGCTCCTTAAAGGCAAAGACAATGACTTCCTCCTTTTTGTAGGGCCCCATAATACCTGGCAGGCTCCTTGGGTTGTCAATAATGGTCTCTCTGAAGAAGCATGACCTTCCCTCTGTGAGACCAAAGCACTCACCTTTGCTCAGGTTCTGGAAATAACTGGGACAGGGATATGCCACAAATGGCGGCATAGGCAAAGCGGTTGGCCTCAGACAACTCCCGGCCCGTGGGCAGATGTGGGTCCCCCTCCACGGCTGGCTCAGCCTCCTGATGCAGCCCGTGGCTTGATCTGCCCCCTGTGGCCATTTCCAGTCCTGCAGGAAAAAATCTCAGTGAGATGCATCCAGGGGGCAGGCAAAGGTTACTTAAATGGGACATGGAAATTGTCAGCCATGAGCCCGGCCAGGTATGGCTCAGTTGGTTGGGTGTCGTCCCATGCACTTGGAGGTCACTGGTTCAATTCCCCATCAGGGTACATAGGAGGGTTTCAGGCTCAATCCATAGTAGGGGGCCATGTAGGAGGCAACCAATCAATGTTTCTCTCTCATGGATGTTTCTATCTCTCTCCCTTCCTCTCTCTGAAATCAGTAAAAACATATTTAAAAAAATATATCAAGCATGAGAGAAAAGATTGACAAATTAGCCTTCATTGAAATTAAGGAATTCTATTCATTGTCTTCAAGAGAGTGAAAACACATACCAAACACTAGTAGGAGTATTTTCAATAGATATATCAACAAAGAATTTGTATCTATAGTATATAAACAACTCCTATAAGTCATTAGAAAAAAGAAAGGAGGCAAATTTAAAAACAGGCAAAATAGCCCTGGCCAGTTTGGCTCAGAGGTTGAGTGTTGGCCTGTGGACCAGAGAGTCCCAGGTTTGGTTCCTGCTAGGGGCACATATCACAAAGAAAATAAAAATAAAAAAAAAATAAAAACAGGCAAAATAGGTGCTTCATAAAAGATAGCCAATGGCCAATAAGCACACGCAAAGGTGTTCAACGTCATTAGTCATCAGCGAGACAGAAATTCTAATCCCAATGAGACACTGCTACTCACCCATCAGAATGACTAAAATAAAAGACAGACAATATCAAATGTTGATAAGGATAAGGGACAAATAGAACTTCCATACACAACTGGTAGGAGTATAAATTAGTCAGAGAAATGGAAATTAAAATTTAGTGAGACACTACCATTCACCTGTCGGAATGGTTAAAACTAAAATGACTGACAATAACAAGTGCTGGTGAGAATAAGGAGCAAATGGAACTTTCATACTCTGCTGGTGGGAGTGTATGAAATGCATGAAATTTGGAAAATGGTTTGACATCCACTAAAACTAAATATATGTCTTACCTATGTCCAGCAATTTCAGTCCTGAAAATGCAGGTTTATGTCTACCAAAAGACATATACATGAACACTCCTCGAAGCTTCATTCATAATAGTCCCAAACTGCAAACAGCCTACATGTTCACTCACAGTAGAATGGATAAACTGCACCATATTCATACCATGGAATATTACACAACAATGAAAAAGAATGAAGTCTGGCTAGCCACAACAACATGAGTAAATCTCATCAACAAAATGATAAGCATACAGCCATTTATGAGGATACATTCTGTAGGGTTATGTCTATATGAATTTGAAGAACAGGTCAAACAAATCGAAGGTGATAGCAGTAAGAAGAGAGGTTACCCCTGGGAGGGAATCTCAACTCAGAAGGGGCACAGGGAAGCTTCTGGTGATGGAAATGTTCTATATCTTGATCCACATGGTAATTATATGAATAAAGTATATTTAAAAATTAATTCAGCCGTATACTTAAGATTTGTGCACTCTGTATATGTTATACTTCAATGAAAGAAAGAAAGGAAAGAAGAAAGAAAAGGAGGGAGGAAGGTCTCCTTCTCCCTCTCTCCCTTCCTTTATTCTCTCATTCCTTCCCAGAGGGAGAAGAGGAAGAAGAGATCAGAGGGGAGAGGAAAAGAGGGGAGAAAAGAAACCAAGCCAAGCCAGGCATCCAAGGGGCAGAAGGGACCCTAGGAGGGGCACTAGGAAGGGTGCCAGCCTTGACCAGGGTACTGCGGATATGAATGCAGGCTCAGGAATAGACAGGCCTGGGTGGTAATGCAGCCACCTCCACCTCATAGATATGGACTTGGGGCAACACAACTTCTGCACTTAGCTTTCTTCACCTACAAATGGGCCTGAAGAGCTTTGTTAGCAGTAAATGACATAGCCACACATGTTAGTATTCATAAAGCACTTAGAACAGAGCCTGGCACAGGGCTCAGGCAATATAGATGTTTGTCAAAGAAATAAATGCATAAAACAATCAATAAACAAATAAATGAAATGCTCAGCACAGTGCCTGGCACACAGTAATGATGTACAAGTAATAATAAGAGTTACCATTATTGAACCATCACTGGATGAAGTTTTTATTGTTAATCCTCACCTGAGGACATTTTTTGTTCAGATAGAGTGGGAGGGAGAGAGAGGAAGTGAGAGAGAGAGAGAAACATCGACATGAAAGGGACATATCGAGTGGCTGCCACCTGCATGACCCAACCAGGGCCGGGGACAAACTGCAACTGAGGTACATGCCCTTAGCGGGAGCCAAACCCGGGTCTCTCTGGACCGCAGGCAGATGCTCTAACCGCTGAGCAAAACCTGCCAGGGCATGGATGAAGTTTTAACATGCATGGTCTCCGCTAACTCTGCGAGCCAGGTGCTACTATAATGTTCAGTGTACAAGCAAGGGAACAGGCTCAGATGAGAAGTAACAGGCCCAGGTCACACAGCTGGTCAACAGCAGACCAGAGCCCAGAGCCAAAGCTCTTGGCCCACCACCTCTGTTTTCAATACTCATCCTGTCGCCAGAAGGTTTCCACTCTAATACCCACACTCTGCACTGATATCGGCCCATAAATCCATTCTCATCCAGCTGAGCAATAAACATTTTTGTTCTCAAAAGATAACTTCTATGGAGGAGTAGCTTAAAAGTCTGTTCACAACTATTATTTCATTAGCATTTCAAAATAACCCTGAGGGCATTAGAAGTAACACAACAACTTCTGTACACACATACAGTTTACAAAGCACCTTCTAATCAATTTAATTCTCACAACGACCATGTAAGGTTAAATAGGACGTGAGTCCCCGCCTGGGACATTCCTCCCCTGACCTTGACATCATTCTGGCCTCAGCCCAAATGTCACCAGGCTAAAGAACTTCTGTTCCTCTATCCCAGCATCCTGTCTATTTTTTTTTTTTACAATACTTAGTCCTAACTTAAATGATATATTTTATTTATTTATTTATTTTATCCTCACCCGAGGATTTTTTCCATTTTTTGTACAGATAGAGTGGGAGGGAGAGAGAGGAAGGAGAGAGAGAGAGACACATCAATGCGAAGGGACACATCAAGTGGCTGCCACCCGCACGACCAACCAGTGCCGGGGACAAACTGCAACCGAAGTACGTGCCTTTAGCGGGAACCGAACCCGGGTCTCTCCGGACTGCAGGCCGACGCTCTAACCGCTGAGCCAAACTGGCCAGGGCTTAAATGATATATTTTAAATTATTCACTGACTTCTGTATACAAATAGAATATCAGCTTCTCAAGGCAGGCCCCTGGTTGTTTCCTCACTGCTGAACCTCAGCTTTTTAAGCAGACCCTGGAATATTACAGACATTCAATAGCGACTTGCTGGATGAATGAAGAAGGGTATATGATGTATGATGTCCTGTACTGGGCCTTGGGGCAGATCAGGGGACAAAACTGACAGATTCCCTGCCTTCAAAGGACTTATGCTGTAGTGGGACACAGGCACTAATGTACCAATACATATGATAATAATAATTTAAGTAATGCCCGGCCGGTGTGGCTCAGTGGTTGAGCATCGGCCCATGCACCAAGAGGTTGCCGGTGAAATTCCCAGTCAGGGCACATGCCTAGGATGTGGGCCAAATCCCCATTGGGGGCATGCAGGAGGCGGCCAATCGATGTTCTTTCTCATCAATGTTTCTATCTCTCTCTTCCTCTCCTTTCCTCTATCTAATATTAATAAAGAAAAATAAAAATGCTAACAGAAGAGGAACTTGTGGTTGGGCCCTTTCAGCTTTAAAAAAAAATAAAATAAATAATTTAAGTAACTTGCCCAAGATTACATAGATAGTAAGTGGTGGAACCAAGACTTCATTTAGGTGATCTGCCTGTAGGATCCATGTCTTTAAGAGTCCACCAAATAAATAGTAAACATTTGGTCAGGAAGTGATCAGGTGATCAAGTGGGCAGGGTGAGGGGGCTAAGAAGTGATGGGTAGGAGGGAAGTGACTGTGGTATGCAGATGACAGGTGCCATTCCAATAGGGCCTGCAGGAAGAGAACAGCCCCGTGGATGCATGGGAGAGTAATCCAGTAGAAGAAACAGAACAGTAGTAGAGATAGACTAGTAAACAAATGATGACAAACCAGCAGAATAAACATTGTGATGAAGGAAACACAGATAGAGGAATAAAAAGAGGGGGCCTGGAACCCAGAATTGGCTTCCTGGAGAAAGTGATGTTGGGATAGGGGTGGGGAGGAAGAACAAGCTCCGAGCAGAGGGGACGGCACATGTCAAGACCCAGAGGTAGAAAGGGAGAAGATGCTTTTTAAGAACCAAAAAGATGCTCAGTGCAGCCAGGGTTAGGACAATGGGTGGGTGTGGAGGGGTAGATGAGGTTGGCTTCCAGGGGCCACACCACTGCAGACCAAGTTCTCCTGGCTCAGGAGTCAGACTTAAATGTAAGGCCACAGTCATGTGGGGAACTGTGAGAACACGTGAGACCTCTCCATGCTATTTTTACAATTGCCTGTAGTCTATAATTATTTTTTTTAAGTTAAAAAAAAAAAAAGCAGTGGATGTCTCTGAAGAATGTGAAAGAACTTTTCTTAAGGTCTAAGTAAACTAAAAATAAAAAGTCACCACCTCCCCATATTAACCAGTTAGTTAATTTCATAAATATGTATTGGCACCTATTATGTGTCAGGCACCATCCTACATGCTCAGGACACAGAGGTGACTAAGAAAGACAGACAACAGCCCTCCATCACGGAGCTTTATTCTAATGGAGCAGACAGATAGTATGTAAACTCTAATATATTGAATAAGACCATTTAAAATAATGATGAGGATTCGAAGGAAAAGAAACCTTAAATAATACTTACCCAAATTTTAAGAAACAACTGTGGGCTTTCCCTCCAGGTCTGAAAACAGGCTGTCAGCGTCAGGATGGTTCTTTGGGGAAATATGCAAATTGCCCTGGAGAAGCAAACCAGAAAAACCAGCCTGTGGGTTCACAGGGTGTGGGATCTGGAGGAGGAAGACAGGTATCCGATTACCGAGGCTCAGGAAGCCTTGATACTACTTTCCTCTGGGCCTTTGCCCCAGGCCCCTCTACCTGGGATGCCTTTCTCAGGGGGGTAGCAGGCAGCCCTGGACTTTGCTTGAACTGTCTGTTCTAACTCTGCGTACCCTGATCTGTGGTTGCTGTGCCAGCTCCTTGGTTAGACTGGCAGTAGAGGGCAGGCACTGGATCTCCTCCATTCCGGTGCCCCACCCTTACCTGCCATAGACTGAGTGCTCAGATAATGCCTGTTATGTGAGTGAATGAATGAATGAATGAATGAACGAATTTGGGGGCTTAAGCAAGAGCTAGATTTTCCTGGTTATTTCTCTCCTATTCTTACCCTTTCAATGAGCATCAGCTGAGAAACAGATGGAACAAAGGCCAAGTGTCTGGAATTACCCAGGGATGTCCCAGAGCCCCCAAACCAGGATCCCCCAAAGCTTCAAATAAACTGAATTTCATCCTAATGGCCCTTTTCCAAGCCAAGGAACTAGAATAGTATTTTCTGCCTCTTTAAGCCTCCGTAGGGTTTTTACTAAATTATCAGTGATAACACCCTTCTTCTGGATGTCCACCTTCTACGGGGCACGAGAATGTGCCTGTACCATGCACACAGACTCGAGGAGATAAGCTACGAGTCCAACCATGTTAAAAAGATTCAGAGAAGAAAAATGGCCGGAAGAATCTCCTCCAAAAATTATTTCTGAAAGGTGAGATGCCAGAGACTTTTCTGGATTTCCTAATTTCCTGCCATAAATACGTATTGCTTTTGAACTTGGGAGAAAGTTACTTTGTTTATGTTTGTATCCATTGAGAGGGGACTGTTAGGACTTCATCACTAAGTGAGGGCGGAGGGAGAGGGTTGATTCTGGATAATTTTAACTTCTTCCTTTTACATTTCTGTGTTATGAATTTTTAATAATGAGTATGTATTCATTTTAAGATCAGAAAAAAATAGACATGATTTTAAGTTATAACACGGTGTGCTGCTACGGGCCCATACTGGCTGGTGAAACGTGGCTCTACACACATTTTCTCCCCAGCTGTGTATTTCGGTGATGCGGCTGCCCTGAAATGGGCCTCCGTGTGGGAGCGTTTACACCACAGAAATTGGCAAGTGTTGCAAATGGGGAATTTTATTTTCCAGAGAGGTGGTTAATAGCAGGCCAGGATACACAATAGGGTTCCAGTTATGTTTTATAAAAACGTTCCACAGAGCAAGAAGATCACAAGGAGATACATCAAACTGTGAACGACCATCGTCTCCCAGGGGTGGGGTTATGGAACTAGAAGGAACTGTTTTTTTATTCTATTTTTCTGTGTTTTTAACATTTCCTGTCATGAGCTTATTGGTGCTTTCATAATAGAAAAAAAAAATAACTCTAATTAAAAAACAACAACTCTGTTCTTGATTCCTAGAAGGGGAGTGCTTTATTTCAGAAAGTCGGCCCTGTGCGGACCAGCCGAGCCTCACAGGGCTGAGGTCACAGGCAGGTCCCATTCTTCTGCCCGGTAGGTATTGTTATTCACAAAATGGACAAGAGTGGGCATGACAGACAGGAGTTCTCAGCTACCCAAGATGGTGGGGTGGAGGTGCCCATGGTCCCAACTCTATGGATTGTCCAGTCAGATGGGCTGGGCCCCAAACTCTTCCAGCCGTGGAAGTACGGAGGCGGCGGTGAGGTAAGGGAATGTGCCACCTACACTGTGCACACTGGCCGTCGGGGGCCTCCATCCCCTTGGCTGCAGTAGCTCCCAGCTCCCTGGGGTCTCCTGGGGGTCTTGTCTTCGCCCAGGCACTATAAAGACACCAAGGCCCGCACTCGACCCACACGAGCCCCGCCCCTCAGGGAAACAGCACAGACACAGTGAGAGGGGCAGGTGCACACTGACCCGTGGCGTGACTGCAAAGACCAGGTCTGGGACGGGCAGGGAGGGCTCTCTCGCAGGCCCTTGTTTTGAAGCTCTGCACTATTTGTCTCGCCAGCCACAGTCCCCGTGACCAGAAAACCGCTGGCTGTGGTATTTTTGTCAGTAGTGAGGATAGACAGTTATTCCACAAACATCTAGCCTCAGTGTGCAAGCACCCCCAGGAGGCGCTCAACCAGTACTTGTTGACTCATGCTGTAAAGAACACATGGGGTTTCTTCTCCGGGACATGAAAAATTCCAAAGTCAGCACCAAGGAGAAAATCAAATATAGTCAATATTATCCTTGAAAATCCTTAAATCATCCTTAACACCCCATGACCTGGGCCCTTAGAAGATCACATGAAAGAATAAATTTCTTTTGTTTTTCTTACATGCCAGCCAGAGGTGGCCTTTTTTTTTTTAAACTTGGAGCAGCCAGTAAAAGCCAGGGTCAAATTGGTGTGTGTGTGTGTGTGTGTGTGTGTGTGTGTGTGGTGTTCTCTTTCTCTTTCCCTCTTTTCTGGTTAACTAGTCACAGCTGCATTTTCAAATGAGTCTGCAGTACAGAAAAATGAGCGTTTCTACTAGAGAAATGGCTATAGTGTCGCAGGAAGGCTGAGAACTAATTGTCTAATTGTTCTGGAGCCAAGGAGAAGGAAAAGCATCTGCCTGAAAAAAGTCCTTTATAAAAAATAGAGCGACAGCACTGGTTTTAGGCCGGAAACTCCAAAGACTGTAAATCAAAGTATACACACACACACACACACACACACACACACACTCTGGAGATGGTCCCAGAAGGGAGGATTCAAGGTAGGACCAGTTTACTCCCCCTTCTTGTCTCCAGCAATTTGGGAGAGAAACTCATTCATTCTATACCTCGATCTGGAAGTTAAGTTGGAAGCCAGGAGTAAGTACAGCATCTCAGGAGGTCTCCATGCCAACAGATCCAACAGAGAAGAACCCAGAGGCTTTTAGGCAACTCCACTACAGATCAGAAGAAAAAAGAAATGTTGGCATGAAAAGTTCCCATCCCAACCTTACTTTGGCAGTTTGGAGGATAGGCTGGGTGCTGGGGTGAGACGGTGCCATCAGGGTGGGTACCCAGGCTCTACAACATTTTGTCTGCATTTATCATTGTGCCCTCCTCACCCACTCACACCCTGGGACACGCTGCCATGATCTCTCCAGTAAGAGCCTTCTCACCAGTGCCCCACCTCCTTCTGCTCTCACCCTAACTATCCACCCCATGGCACCCAGACAGCTCCATTCTAAACTGAAGTCAGATCATGTCCCTTCTCTGCTCCAAAACTCCGACGACTTCCTCCTCACCCTCCGTCACAGTCCTTACAACGGCGACTGGGCCAGGTGCACTCTGCCCTCCTCCTGTCCCCCTCACCCATTCTGCTCCAGCCACACCATCCTGGATCCCACCAGCCACGTTCCCACCTCAAGGCCTTTGCCTAGGCTGTTCCCTCTGCTGGGAACACTCTTTCCCCAGACAACCACATGGCCAACTCCCTTCCCTCCCTCCATTCTGCTCAAATCGCACAGCTCAGTGAAGCCACCCTGTCCCATCCTCTCACCCAACCCCTGTACCTAGCTCCTCTGCTTGGTCCTGAGCACACAACCACTGGCTGACATGTATATCATTTACTGTTTATGTTTATTGCTTACTGTCTATCTCCCTCTGCCCACACATACGCACAGCAGGCATTTACAAACATTTGTTGAATAAACAGTGGTTTCCACTCGGGATCATTAAAAAATAATTCAAGCCCTGGCCGGTTTGGCTCAGCGGTTAGAGCGTCGACCTGCGGTCCGGAGAGACCCGGGTTCGGTTCCCGCTAAGGGCATGTACTTCGGTTGCAGTTTGTCCCCGGCCCTGGTTGGTTGTGCGGGTGGCAGCCACTCGATGTGTCCCTTTCACATCGATGTTTCTCTCTCTCTCTCTCTTCCTCTCTCTCCCTCCCACTCTATCTGTACAAAAAAATGGAAAAAATGTCCTCGGGTGAGGATAAAAAAAAAAAAAAAAAAAATTCAAGAGGCAAATCTGCCTGGGAAGGAAGGGGGAGAAATGATACCGTGTGTAATGGTTCATTGGATCCCCTGGTCTTCACTGCTCCACAGGGCTCCAGGGACTTCTCTTACTCTGGTGGGCAAGAGGAGATCCAATGGGGAGCCCTCAATGCCCCTTCAAATTATAACCATAGATGATCCAGTGATACCACTCCTGGGTGTACGCCTCAGAAAATGGACAGCAGGGTCTCAAAAAAGATATCTGTACACCTGTGTTCACACTAGCATTATTATTATTATTTTTTATCCTCACCCGAGGACATTTTTGTTGTTGTTGTTCAGGTAGAGTGGGAGGGAGAGAGAGGAAAAGAGAGAGAGAGAGAAACATCGATGTGAAAGGGACACATCGAGTGGCTGCCACCCACACAACCGACCAGGACCGGGGACAAACTGTAACCGGGGTACGTGCCCTTAGCGGGAACCGAACCCGAGTCTCTCGGGACCGCAGGCTGATGCTCTAACCGCTGAGCCAAACCGGCCAGGGCACAGTAGCATTATTAACAATAGCTGAAAGATGGAAGCAACCCAAGTGTCCATCATATGAATGAATAAACAAAATGTGTTATGTATACAACAGAATATTACTCCACCTTAAAAAAGGAGGACATTCTGACATATTACAACATGGATAATACTTGAGGATGCTAAGTGAATCAGCCCATCACAAAGACAAATACTCTCCACTTATATGAGGTACTTAGTCAAAATCATAGGAGCAGGAAGTAGAGTGGTGGTTACCATGGGCTGGAGGGAGGCAGGATGGGGAGTTGTTTAATAGGTACGGAATTTCAGATCTGCAAGTTGAAAAGGCCTGAAGGCTGGTTGCACACAATGTGAATATACCTAACACTACTGAACTGTACACTTAAAAATAGTTAAGATAGCCCTGGCCGGTTTTTCTCAGTGGTTAGAGCGTCGGCCCATGGACCAAAGAGTCCAGGTTCAATTTTAGCCAAGGGCACATACCTCGGTAGCTGTTTGTCCCTGGCCCATCGGGGTCGTGTGGGAGGCAACCAATCAATGTGTCTCTCTCACATCATTGTTTTTCTCTCTCTCTTCCTCCCTCTCTCTCCCCTGCTCTATCTGGAGATAAATGTAAAACTATCCTTGGGTGAGGATAAAAAAAAAAAAAGGTTAAAATAGTGAATTTTATGCTACATATATTTTATCACAATTAAAATTTTCAAATTAAAAATCATAACAGCAAATGCTTGGGAAATGTTAGTCATGTGCTATCTCTTTGCACACATCGTCTCGTTTTCTCCCAAAAATCCTACAACGTAGGTGCTATTATCTCCATTTTACAGATAGAGACAGACAGGCCCTGAAAAATGAGGATCAAGGTCACAGGACAAGTGATGTGGACTTTACACTTGTGTCCAGGTCTTAGCCCTAAGGCGGCCTTCTTAACTATGACACTACACTGCTTCTCTTTGGTCTAGATTATACCCTGAAGTGGTCAGAAAGATTTCAAACACAATTTGAAAACCACCAAATTACATGTGTCTCACTACAGAGTGATCTGAGTGTATCACCCTCTGTAAAACCCTGCTGTGGCTTCACATTTTCTTAAGATAAAGAACAAAAACCTAACATGAACCATCTAGGCCTACGCTGGGCCTCCTCCTCCAGCCTGTCTCAGACCACTTTGTCAATAGTCCTCTGTGCCTGAGGCACACTGCTCCCTCACCCCAGGACCTTTGCCCATGCTCTTCTAGATGACTCTTCCCTCACCTCACAGGCTAACATCTCATTTTTCAGGCAGCCCTAAGCGTCTCTGGGACGGGCCTAACCTGCCTTTTCACCTTTGTTTTCCTCTCTTCCCTGCTTCCAGCCCACGCCGGGTTTCCCACCTTGGGCCTCAGCTCGTGCTGTTTGTTCTCGGTGTGGGTGCTCATGTCCAAATGGTGCCCTTTTTCAAAAGCACAGTTCAACACGAAATCAGTGAAGATTTCCTGTGGGCCTACTCTCATGATCCCATTTCAGCCTCACAACAACCTTATGAGGAAGAGACTACCACTGTTCCCATTTTACAGATGAGAAAACTGAGGCTCACAAAGGTGAAGGCTGCACAGCCCGCAAATGGCAGTAACAGGATGTACCCCCCAGGCCTGTGTGACTTCAAACCCAGGTTCTTCTTCACTTTACCAAAGGGGCTATAAGCCTTCATGGATCTGTCTGGCTAAAGTGGGGCCTGCCACCTCTGAAGCCACCCCACCTCCTCTTGAGTTTAATGACTGGTTGCTTCTGGGGGTTACGGTCCAGGTGGTGGACAGGGTACAGGCAGAAATTACTCCCATTGATGAGTGTATAAATCCACCTGAGCAAAAACCTCCCAGGTGCCGTACGTGGGATGTCTTGTGGCCTGGGGTACGAGTCTAGTTTGGGCTCAGATCGGAAGGATGAGGAGGTGTTCACCTAGGGAAAGTGAGGTGAGGGAAGAGTCATCAAGCAGAGCATGGGCAAAGGTCCTGGGGTGAGGGAGCAGTGTGCCTCAGGCACAGAGGACTATTGACAAAGTGGTCTGAGACAGGCTGGAGGAGGAGGCCCAGCATAGGCCTAGATGGTTCATGTTAGGTTTTTGTTCTTTATCTTAAGAAAATGTGAAGCCACAGCAGGGTTTTACAGAGGGTGGTACACTCAGATCACTCTGGCTGCTCCATGGAGGGTAGCTAAGTGGAAAGTGGGTTGGGCCATTCTCCAGTCCCTCTCTGCTCGCCGTAACACATCCAAGGCAGTGGGGCCCCCATCTCATCTGTGGCCCCAGTTTATAATGTACAGCCATTTTCTCAGGTCCCACATGTGCAGGCCCAGGTGGCTGATCCCAGCACTGCAGCCCGGCGGTACCAGGGCGGGGAGAGATGGATTCAGGCTGATGAGAAATTCTGCAGGCTCTGACCTCGATCAGCTTCACGGGCTGAGCTATGGCAACCTCGTCAGTCTACTGTGCCCCTCCAACTGCTCCTGGGCCTTAGGCCTAAAAAGCAGAAGGGTTCTTTGTGGCTTCAGCTGCTTTCATCCTCACGATAACCTTGGAGATAGGTATTTTACAAATGAGGACTCTGTCCAAGAGGACTCAGAGAGGAAGCCGCAAAGCTAGTATCTGAGTCCACATCTGGCTGCGGCGGCACACGTGACGGCCAGGGTTGTGAACACTGACGTGCTGACTGTGCCACGGGCATTCATGCCATTGCTGGAGCCTGGCAGGGAGCCTCACAGCCCGTCGCTGCCCTGTACATTTCCTTCCTGGGAGCAGGAACAGGTTATCAACAGGCTCCTTGAGCCTCTAGAGAAACACATCCCAGTTTACACCTGATTTGACAGGGCCTCTGACACAGGCCACACTTTGGATTGTGCTTTACCATTTATGAAGCATTGTGACTCCCACCATATAAGAAAGCAGAGGCCCAGAGAGGTGGAGTAACAAGATCACACAGGTAGAAAGTGGCAGTGCCAGGTTTCCTGGCTCTGAGGTTAGTTCAGGGCTTCCTTTGGACCACTCCCTACCCACCTAGCACCCTCACCCCCAAATCCCTGGGGAGTGGGGGGGAAAGCTCAGGCTGGCAGAGCATCTCCAATAAGCAAGGGTCAAAGGCTCAGAGGGCTGGAGGCTGTGAGAGTCAGTCTTCTCTTGCTCTCTTTACACACTTCACAGGTTGGGAAGATTCCAATGGTCTCTCCTCTCTGCCCAGCACCCTCCCCATGCCCCCCCCCCCCAAAAAAGGGCAGTATTCTTTTCCACTCTCTGGAGTGTACTCATGGAGGGGCAGCACTTGTCTTGTTCACGGCTATATCCTCAGTGCCTACACAATGCACACACCAGCACACAGTAGGTGTTCAATAAATATTTGTTGAATGAATGAATGAACAGATGCCCCTAAAGCTTAAGGGGTTTTATGTTTTCCGCAGTGAAATGAACACTGGAGTAGGGAAAGGAGAACTAACCTGTCCACTCCTGCTTTGTGTTAGTCAGTAGTCTCTAGGCCAAGACCCAGGCTCTAGCCTTGTTGTCCTGACTCCCCGTGGGCCCAGGGCATGGCAGACAAGGACACTGTGAAGGCCTACTCTGTGCCAGGCACTGGGTCAGGCTGTGGGGTGGGGGTAACCCAGGTTATTATCCTGTTCTCCTTTCTTGCTGTGCGGTCTTGGGGAAATCATTCCACCTCTCTGAGCCTCAGTTTGCTTAGCTGTGGAATCCACCCTGAAGTTAGTAGCAGTAATTCTTCCCTCCTCTAACAGCAGCAGCTGGGGGAGAGACTAGGCCCGCCTGTAACGCAGGGGGCGTGGGCTTTTCTCCAGAGGTTTTTCCAAACCCCGGTCGGTTTGAGGGTCTGCTGTGAGCTCAGAGGCTACAGAGCCTAGGAAAGAGGAGGTTAAGGGGTGCTGGAGGCCTTCCTCACCAGTTCGTGGCGGTGTGTGGAGGGGCGGCGTGGGACCAGGGGAAGCTCAGTGACCCCATGTGACCTTGAGCAACTCCCTTCTCCCGGGACCAGCGAGCAGCGGCCTCACTTATCAAAGGAGGAACTGGGTGACCTCTGAGGGCTCCGGGCTCCCAGTGCTCCGCCCCGCCTCAGTTTCCCCAGCTGCCTCCCTACGTGATTTCTAAGGGCACTTCCGGCTCGGAAAGAAAACAAGCAACCACCAGGCAGCCTTGTCGCCGGGGCACTCCTGGTGGGTCCGGCGCCCACAAGGGGCGGAGCGCGGGGTGGGGGGCAAAGGGCTCGCGGGTCCGGACGGGCGGGAGCTCCGCGTGGGCCCCGCAGGGTGGCAGGGGGAGTGGCCGCGGCGGGACCTGGCCCCTTACCTGGAGGCTGCGGCGGCGGCGGCGGCGGCGGCGGCGCGCGACGGGGAAGGCGGCTCGGGCTCCTCCCGCCCGGCTCCTCCCCCGTCCCGGCCCCGCCGCCGCGCGCCTGCCCCGCTGTCCCGCCGCCGGCCCTGCGCTGGCTGCCCCGAGCGCGCCTGGCCCCGCTGCCCACTGTCCGCTGCCCGCTGCCCACCCCGAGCGCGCCTGGCCCCGCTGCCCACTGTCCGCTGCCCGCTGCCCACCCCGAGCGCGCCTGGCCCCGCTGCCCACTGTCCGCTGCCCGCTGCCCGCCCCGAGCGCGCCTGGCCCCGCTGCCCACTGCCCGCTGCCCGCTGCCCGCCCCGAGCGCGCCTGGC